CAGTAGCGATTTTCTTAAGCTGCTTCGCTGAACTTTGAGGAAGGCAATTTCTCCACAAAGCCTATAAACTCTAGTTAAATGTTTTAGTAGTTTCTATCATACGTAAAAGAATCCAAAGATATTTCTAAACTGTACGGAAAAGAGAAAAACGAGTCCGAAACGGCGAAATTGGCAACTTTTACTTTTGAAATTTCGTAAAATTTCACATCAAATTCTTTTACATGAAAGTCACCAGAAGGTAAACGCACTAAAATAGTAAATATTCCCTGAAACAAAGCAGCTTTTAGGTTGCTCATAATTATAGTAATTTCGAAAACAAATTAATTGTAAGATCATCTTACGCGTATTCATCAACAAAACAGCTTGGAGCAATGAGTTCTTGCTTTTTCTTTCAGTTTTCTGATCTACGTTGCTGAAATAGAAATTCGAAATAAATAAAATCGGAAATGTAATTCGAAAATCAAGAACTCTTTGCTATTATTTATAAAGTACATTAACTGGAAAACCTGGCTTGAAAAAAAAATCACATAACAGCATGCTTCAGAGCAGCTCAACGAAAAGCATGCTTCTTTTTTAAACAAACATAAATTCCTGATATCGAAATGTGACAGCATAAAATTACCAACAGCAGTCATTTTCATAGCTCTGCTGCCCGAGCAATCGGTGTGGGTGTCTCATGTTACTCAGCTATAGTGAAATTTTCAATACTGAATTTTGCGCATCAACTTTAACCAGGACAAAAATGCTTCTGAGATGGGTTTTTGCCGAGAAAATCAACACAGTACCCAGTTTGATGAAACAGGATGAAATAAAGTCAGAATTATTGGCATTTTTGACACCAAATTTTGCCGCAAATGAACAGAGGTGACACAAGTGGTAAAGTGCTTGCCTTATAATGATAACAATTTAACATTATTAGTCCAGTACTGTGCTTAAATTCAATTCAATCCAACCATTTTAGCTAAATTTGGCTCATTTGTACTCATTATCTTACACTTTCCTCCACTCAATGCTGCCACAAAAGTGCAAGAAAAGATTTCCATCAATATTCCATTTCTTGCTTACATCAACAGTAATAAAAATACAGTTGAAATTCGCAGTATTACAATAAGGAATGGAAAAAAATACACGATAATTCTACACGAATTAAATTTAACACAGACACAGCTGCTTACTTAAAAAAATTTGCTCACAAATTACAGTAGTTTGGAAGCACTTGGTTTTCTCCACAGTCGTAAAATTTTCAGTTTGCTTTTCAAAAAAAAGAGAACCACTTATAGCATTGCTGCTGACAAATGCTATTACGCCTTTCACTTCCAAGTAACTTCAGCCTCTCTCAAAAAGGAAACTGTAAGGGGAAGAAAAGAAAAATTACGATTTTTTCATTTTTACCTAACAAAATTATACAAGACATTGTGGCAAAATCATTAATATCAGCAGGACTAGGGGAGGGAGAAAAACCCTAGTCCCGAAATCTCGCTTTTACTGGAACACTAAGCACAGTTTCGCAAACTCCCGGTCCCAAGTTTACAGCTTCTTATTTTCGCCTATTGCATTCACTAGACAGACCAAACATTTGATATTCTTTGGGTATGCCTGGCGAAAAAACAGGCAGCTTGCTCAAAATGAGGGACTTTCCTGTATTTCAGACCAGCTCCCCGTTCAGTACTATCCCCTGAGCATTGGCAAAGTTCGAAACGAAATGTTAATGGTCAATGGTCACACAAGAAATCTCGAAACGGCTAAAGTCTTGCCACTGCCTCTGTTAAGGTATTGATCAAGTTGGTAATCTTTACAGGAGACGGGAACGAATGTCAGGATCGCCAGTAGACCAAAACCAGGAGATACAGCACTGGTCAGAGAAACTGCCAATAGCTCAGCTAAAAGACGTCGCTAGGAACTGCAGCTGATCACGATGACGAAGCCTCCATATCATCTTTCTGGGAAAAAAAAATTAAGGACCAAAAAAAAAGGAATGAATGCAAAAAAAACTGTACAAAAAAAGTAAACGAAAGTGAAATTTTGTAGGATTGGCGGCTTGCCGTTAAACACAAATATGAAATAGATTATTAGTGCTTTTTTTACAAGCCCTTTTCCATTGGGCAGCTACAGAAAACGATCAGATTTTATGAAAAAGCGATGTCACATGCACTCCAGCAGAATCACATACAGTGCGTAAAAGCAGAAAGTACTGATCGATCTCAATCAGGCTATCACTAACGTGATGAAGATTGAAATCGATTAGTACATTTTAGGTAAATATTGATCCATTTCCATCACTGTGCTATTCATGATAGGATAATTGCGATTTTATGAATATGTTAGTGACTGGAATCGATCAGGTCCTTTCGATCGTTTTCAATCTATCATAAATAGAGATGGGAATCGATCAGCATATTTATAATAAAAACATTTGCTCGACATCATGGCACATCCAAATCCTTTGGTATTGTGGTTTCACGGAATTTGCAACATTAAAAGTCTAGGATTTTCATTATTTTAATCCTAGGCATGAGAAAAGGCACCTAAAAATTCAACACTGTCAGCGTTTAATTTTACTGAGGTCGCTTAAGTTTCCAACTTTTTTTTAACAAGAATACAACCACAAGCCAGTCGCAGTATTCAAAAATAGCTATTCTCATGTTTCTCGGAATTTTTTCCAAGTAGCAACCGATTGTTAGGCTAACAGCTGTTTGTGCCATTCCAGCGTAGCGGATAAAAAATTGCAGTGCAGCGCCTTTTCAAAATTTTTAGGGCCCATCTGCTCCAGGATGATACCATTCCACAAAGGACAAAGACTCATTTTTTGAAAAAAACCTCAAAAATTTTTAAAATTCCCTCAAAATTACCCGAATTACTAATGTACGTTCTGCTACTGGTACTGAGGTATAGCTACGTGTTTATGCAGCACGCAGAAATACCGGTGTACTCCGGTACGTTAACATATAAAACGACAAAAAAGGGGCAATTTTCCCGTGTTCGCCGTTGCAGTTTTTGATTTCAAAAATAAAAAGTCCACTTTTCACCAGAGCAAAAAGTAGCTATTGTTTCAGTTCATCCACTGCGGTTAAATTATTGTGGTATTTTTTCTTTCATCGACCGGTGTCGTCGTTAACCGTTAGTGTCGTCACCTGAAATAAATTTTTATACATAGTTCATGGAATGAACTATTTATTTCGCATTTTAAACTATCAGAGGTAATTTGGATCAAGATGCTTTTTTGTTTTGTTAATAATCGATGGCAGTATTAATTAGAGGTATGCGACTCAGGATCGGAGGGCTTAGCACACTTGTACCCGATTGGGAGCATTTTCAGCAACATCACTAACATGTGATAGCCACACTGATAGCCCGGGTGTATATGGTATTAACAAGTTAACATTTTTCGTTCAATTTAATGCCCCTTTGTCTGAAATGTATATGGGCGCTACCTCATGACAGTACTTCGGGTGGTCATATTGGTTCCCACAAATACCACTCACAGAAATATGTTGTTTTTGTTTAGTTTGGATAAAAAAAGAATATAGTATAATAAAAGTCAATAAATACTGTGTTTGCAGTTGCATCTCAAAAGCTAAAAGCAATTAAACAAAAAAATTTTGGGATTATAAGCTCAAAGGTAATCAAAATCAAAAGAACTCTCAAAAACAATATGATTAGGATATCACTCACGCCAAAAACTCTCATGATGCTTATGCTAAATGCATTTTTGCAGAATCAGTACCACAAAACTCCTAGGATTGGGAAAAATCAAGGAAGCTGCCAAACGCGCAACAATGAATCCTCTGGATAAGGTTATAGCAAATAAAAATTTTGATTCCTTCACGCTACTAGTCTGTAGCAGCAGAAATCGTGGTATTCATAACGTTTAATCCTAGCAAAGCGAAACTTAGGCATTTTCAGTTTTGCAGCGTCTGCAGAAGGTCAAGCTGCTGCTTTTTTCGCATTTTTGCTGTGCAGCTGCAGCCAACAAAAACACATATTGTCGAGAGGCTGTCTGTGTGTTCGGAAGCGAGTGCATTTTGTCACCCACTTTCTTCTCAGTAACCAGAAAAGCTGAAAGGCTGAAACTTCGAGTATACGTTCCTATCCCATGTATCATCCTCCCTTTTTAAGATCTTTCTCCATATGCGCCTAGACTCCGCGTACGGCCCCTCTGAAAAAATGTGTTGGCGAGAAACGATTTCGCGAACCAGGCAAGATAGAAAGCTGAAACTTTGCAGGGATATTCTCTATGCACGTATGAGCTAAAGATTTTAAACTCAGCTGTCGAGCACCCCAACTACAGCCTCAAGCAGCTCATCAACCCAAAAATCGTCCGCAACTCGGACCTGAATCGCAATCGTATGTGTAAATGAACATGGATTTTTTGGCAGACGACTGTTCGAGCAACACTTCCAATTTTTAATGAACTGGAAATTTGCATTTTTTCAGAAAATTTGCATTTGTCATTTTTTCACAAAGCGAGCATTTACCGAAAAACGACCGGACTTCATGCAGCAAAAAACCAATCATGCACCTGGATTCCCTTGCGTCTCTATAATGCACCACCTTCATCCCAACTGACTCCCTTCCTTCTGCATGCCGGAAAGGGTCAAAATACGGCCAATAAGGGCCTAAGTTTTAGGCTACAACGTAGGGGTCATTCCTGCTAATAGCGATGTGCGAGTTTAGTGCGAAAAAGCATGATCGCACCGAAGAGCCTGATGCGTTCCAGCCTGAGTTTACTTGAAGAATCAGTCAATGCTTGCCGTGGCT